TTGGGCTTACTGTGGTAGTCTTCCGGTGGATCCGGTCCAAGGAGGGAAGGATCTTCTGGATTGGATTCGATTGGTGGGTTAGGTTGGGGAGGACGAGCGGGAGGATTATCGAGTTCGATCTTAGCAGGTGATGTAGGATGGGTAGAGGAGGTGGAGAGGGTAGCCAGGAGGGAGTCCTTCTTCTTGCGGTGCACCTTGAGGTCGTTGTCGACCCGGTCGATGAGTCGCTTGAGGTCGATGAGCTGGTTGGTGGCCTGTATCAGTCGCTCGTAGCTTTCCACGTTCTTCCGGGTCGGCATGATCAGTGGCTTGGGCAGATAGCTTAGCAGGTTCGGGATATTCAGCTCGCTCCATACCGTCGAGATCCGGGTCTGAGCAGCGGCCGTCTTAGGCAGCGGGATCCGGGCCGATCGTAGGCAGACCGTTCGGTGATGCCCTCCCGAGCCAGTTGTCGATCCGGTCAGAGAATTCGAGTCTAACCGATAGATGCAGTGTTTCGTGTCATGCTCGATCTGCTCTTGTGGGTCTATCCCTTTCGGACGCTCTCCATTCATCTCTTGGTTGTCGCCTACAAGACCACCACTACTAGCATTGATCGGCAAGTCATCCATCGTGGTGTCCTCTCGTCGAGCGTTACGCTTGTCAAGCTGGTTCAGATGAGCCGACCGACTTGTACTCTCAGGTGGATGAGCAAACCCAGATGGGTTGTTAGCCGAGTTCAAATTGTTGTTGATACTATTACTAATCGCCAGACGGGATAGTTGCAAGGTCGTCGGACTAGGTTCGACGATCGGCCAGAACTTCATCTCATTCAAGATGTGATGCTGGAAGCCTCCGATGATCTTCATTACTTCATCACGATTCCTGATCCGCTTGAGTAGGTTTTGCTCTAATCTTCGCGTCTCGATGTAAATGAATTCTTCTTGCTGTAGCTGAGCCGGTGTCCGATTGAGCAAGGATTTCACATGTTTCTTTCGTTCGACTTCTCTCTGTTTATCGAAGTGATAGGATTGAATCAACTGTTTCTTGTTCGGGTCATCCAGATGAGTGCTTGTCGAACTCGTAGACGGTCGGTGCGGGATTAACTTTTGACAGATCGAATAGTATCGTGCCTTCAGGTCATCTAAGGTTCGTTCATGACTGCCCACGAATTCGTACCTGTCATGTACTACTGGGAATCTGAGGTCGTAGGTATTCAAGAGATTGAACAGATAATCTGTCTCTGCCTTCGTCCAGTCATCATCTCTTAGTAGGTGATAGTACTCTTCGGTCGTGTAGCTAAAGACGTTTGATGTTGTATCATATTTCGCAAATCTATAGACTACATCCGTCAAAGTATATTCACTATTGTCAGGATTTCGGTTGAAGAAGGGCCGATTGAGAAATGGGACTTGTCTTTTTTTCTTTTTTTAAAAAAAAAATGAAGTTGACGCACCCTCCTGATCATCAGTGCGTACCCAATGGTTCAGTTTCAAGCCGTCCTTTCGAGCCGGGTGATCGATCGGTGCCCAGATCCATTTAGGGGCGGAAGGAGATGGGTCTTTTGAATGAGGGTTTCGTTTGAGGACTTCGAGTGGGATGCTTGGCACGTTATTTCCGATGAGCTTGATGAGGGTTGGGTCTGATTTGCTAGTACTCGCACTAGGCTCAGTCTCGTTATTGGTCGTTGTTGTCTCGATCTTCTTGGGTTGATGATTGTCGGTTGATGGTTGACTGGGTCTTTCCTCTTGCTCGTCCTCAGTGGGTTCTTGGTCCCCAGTCTGAGTCCTGGTGTTTATATTCTCCTTATCATCGTTGTTATTGTTGTTGTTGTTCTCATCGATGGTCGTTGTCATTTTGTTTTTGTTTTCGTTTTCGTTTTTTGTTTTTGTTTCTGTTTCGTTCGAGTTGAGTCGTGGACTCCGAGCTTCCTCGACTGTCGACTGTTACTCGGCCGAGAAATGTACATAATAAGTCCTCCCCTCTGGATTTTTTCAAACCTCTTTGCAACATCCATCTCCAACTCACCCCGCCCCACCAGCCGAGCTTAACAAAGCCTCTCCAAGGAGGCGCGAAGCGTCTCCTGTTAAGTTCGCCCACCAGCTAGGTTTCCACACAAACGGATACATAGTACCCCAATTTGATCAAGTTGGAGTGCTTCTTCAACAATTTACATCAATTTTGCTCCCCGCTGGTCGCCACACAATCTTATAACATAGATAACATAGTTACCGTCAGAAGATGACCGGACTAAGTTAAGGTAGGTTGATGTTCGAGGGAGTTAGAAGCTCACATAATCAAGGAGAAGAGTTATGTACTGTGGTCTGGTGTTGCGTGGGGATGTCGCGTCCTACCGTGTCGGCTGTCGTATCACCCAGCAAAACAACCACCACTCAAAGCTACTAGTACACCTGGGTTCAGCCAAGTCGAAGGAGAAGCACCATACCATCCAAGCCCTCATTCTCCACACCCTACATCAGTAACGGTCATACTTACGAATACGAACCTCAAAAAAAAATTACCCTGGGCGCGTCGCGTCTGTAACGACCCCCTGCGTCGATCAACGGAATCGTTTTTGTCCCGTCCATTGACCCATCAAGCCTCTGCCCGGATTACTTTTGTATGTGACTTAAGTCCCATGCCAAACTACGCCCTCCATCTGATCTGGCTTTCTGTCTCCCTCGATCTTGAATTTACCTAACAATTTGTCGCTTTCCTTCCCCAAATGGCGGCTGCTCCAGCTTCGTTTCGTGTGTGGACGAATCGGGACCAGGAGCGCGTCCCAGTCAGTCGATTATACCGGCCTCGATCACTTTGGCCAGCATGCACGCCAGGATGGCCAACGTCACCTCGGCGACAACCTCGACGATGCCTGTCATGCCCTCCTATCGTCCTCCCACCTCGCCCTACCACCAGCAGCCCGTGCGGCCGTCTGGCGAGCAGCTGGTTTTCGCCGCCCAGTCCACCGGATCTGCTACCGCCTTTCGAGAGCCCGATCGGTCCGGCTCGACCCCACATACTTGGACCTACAGCGCCCCTCTTAGTGCACCCACCTCAATGACCCTTAGGAAGAGACAGGTCGTATTGGAGATTGAGGTGATCACCGTGGTCAATGTGGTCCCAAAGGTAAACACCGCGAGGACTCGCTTGATATGTCCGAATTGAGTGAGTTGACTGAAACCCCATTTCCTCCCTCGTCATCCGCTTGCTCGGATTCAGGTTAGCTACCCGAACGCCAGCCCAGTCGCAGTCACCGTCACCGTCCCCCCGCCAGCCAATACGATGATCAGTAACGGAGGTTGGCCGATCATCAATCCCGGCTCAGCGGCGGCCTGTTGGTCAGACATGGCATGCATAGTGTTTGCCCAAATGTAGTTCTCTGACTATTGATATGGCTCGTCGTCGCTTACATCGATCTCGACGTCGCTTCTAGTCAACAACGGCTGTATGCTCATGTGTGGATGCTGCTTGTACCCAGTGTCGCTGTCAGATTATCTCCCCCAATATGTGTACCGGACAAGCATGGTCAAATGCGTATGTCAACATCTTCTCTCATCCTTTAACAGACGCCGGCTCAGTAAAGAAAGGTAACTGACACGCGCCTCTGTTTTTCCTGTCCGTGAATTCAGCACATGGGTTTCGAGTGCGCCAGCAAAGACTGTCCAAGTAAACCCCGCCGTTGCCACCGTCACCGTTGTAGTCGCACAAGCGGGACCATCAGTATTGGATCAGATGAACCGCAGAACCCGGTGGATAGGGCTCCTGTTCTTATCTCTATCTCTCTCCGCCTGGCTCGTTTCTTGATTTCTTTTTATTTACCCCTCCCCGCCACATGTGATACCATCTGCTTGATATAGCCTTCTCTACGATCTTCCTTAACGACCTTTGCATCACGCTTCAATACACATGGACTTTCTTCCGGCATATCGGGATATGATCCAAATTGTAAAAACAAAAATTCAACATGCAATCTTGGGCTTCATTCAACTCACCACGTATTAAGGAATTCTTTTTTTCCAAACTTTCACATGCAAGAAATCAATTCAAAATACCAATAACAAAAGCGTCTAATCACCATCGGCCTGATCTGTTCTCTTCAGACTAGGAAAGCAAGCGTTTCATAAGTTTCATACTTGTGACATGCAGAGGTAGTGGTCAAAAACCTTTAATTTAATAAACGAATTCATTTTCTGGGAGCCCGCAAACAGTCTAACTGGGGCAATCAACTTGGAGGGTCATCAATTTTGTAAACAAAAACGAGATTGTGGTAAAAATGCTTGTTGCAGATGTGAATTCCCACCTGGGCGAAAGGTAAAAATAAAGATCAATAACTACAAAGCTTTCCGTATCGAAATTCAAATGGACTAGTCTTGTCGACCTTCAACACGCTCGATTCTGTCCAGAGCTTCCTCAAAATCTTCGGCCAGTTCGAATTGTGCACAAAATTTCTGCCGATCGATTTGATATTCGTTCCGACAATAGCTCATCATCATCGACAGATTTTCTATCATCCAACCGCATATAAAATATGTAAGCATCGGTTGATTGACGTTTCAAAGTCCACTCCAGTTAGCCCGAGCCCCAAGTCTGGCCTCTCTGCTCACAACAAACTCGTTCTTTGAAACTGAGAATTGAAGTTAGTCTATTCACCTGTCCAGACTTCCGCCCCGCTCTTGTAAAGTTGACATAATCTCACTAGGTGAATCGTACAGGCCGTCCCCCCGGTTAGATGGAATTTCCTCAGCTCAAACCAAGATAATGAAGGAATGAACTCACTCTTTTCCTCGAAAACTTGTGGATCGTTGCTACTTTGCACTTTCAGTTTGGCTTTCATCTCTGCAATATCTTGTCTTAAAACTTCAATTTCTCGGAGATCGCTCTCGCGTTCTTCCTGATGGATGGGAGCGGAAATCATGTTTTCTTATTACTGAGAGAATCTAAAGACTGTTTGGCCAGAGAGAGAGTGAGAGAGGGAATGTCAATGAAGGGGACCTACACTGGCCAACCGATCTGCGGCTGACTTGTCCAGGGCTGTCTGGAGTTCACCTCTCTCCTTCTCCAATCGGTCACGCTCAGATTTGAGACCGGTTAACGCACGCGAGGTAGCTAAACTTGCCTCGGACGAAAAACTCCAGAAGAGATTGACGGTACCGACTTTCTCTACGTGGACCATCCCATCATCTACCAAACTTTTGACAGTCTCTTCGACGCTCTGAGCGACTTTGGTCATGGAGTATGGACAGGTTAAGTTCTTGAGGGTCACTTCACTGAAGAAATCAAGTAAGAGTTAAAATCCTTACCGACACCTTTGGCCTTGGGGACCAGCTGTCGAAAATGCAGAGCGAGAAAACGTGAGCACAGAATTTGAGGTTTTCAAACCATGGCTTCGGTTCGATCTCATTCCAGTTGGAAATTTGCTAACCTTGACAAGGTCCTTGAGAGTAAAGAAGCTATCCTTTGAGCGGGTTTTTTTTTTTTTTCGAAGCCGAAGATGATGGTCATGAGTCAATAGGCACTTCAGCTTTCGGACATAAATCTGATTCCGGTCAAGAGAAGTTCCAATGACTGACATTTTCGTGAAAGAATTCGAGGGTCCTCATCTGTTTCTCTTCTGGACTGAGGCCTCTTTTGGACATTGTTGACCACTGCTTTGGATCTGAGATCCTTGAAGATAAACCTGGAGGTTGGTTCTTACTATTGAATAGTTTGGAGTCCTTTTTTTCTTTCCTTCCGGATGACGAGATTGGAGCGAGTCCTTGAAATTGGATTTGCTGTTCAAGCCAACTGCTCAAGATTTGCATCTGGCACTCATCCCATCGCTAGCAGTGAGCACTGCTCTTGTCCGCCGTTTGGGGATGACTGACTAAGACTGAATGCGTTATGACGTCACCGATTGATGATGATGGCCTTCAACGGTAAATAAATGTAATCGACTCTGAGCCTCTTAGTAATGACCAGTCACATCAGTAGGTGAAAAGGCGATATCGATCTGAGCCTTTCACTTGACATTTTCGCAGACTCGCCTGCATGACCGGCTGTCTCAATTTATCAAGGAGGCAAAGATCATACAGAAATGAGTCAACAACCAGTTTGATTTTGTAAACACTTTCGTCACTCAAACAAACAGCCATTGGTGATCCAATGCCAGACACAGGCACCGGACACATCAGGTAAGAGAACACCTTCAAAGATGAGAAAAACAAGATCACAAAGTGCGGAACGGCGGACTTCATTGGAGCAGCTGAGGTCCTTCTGAAGACCAATTTTGAAACTGAAAACCAATCAAAACGGGAAAGAAAGCCGGAGAAACATGCTGGTCGGAGGTCTCGCCCAGTCGCGACGTCTGACTCATAGATCGCTCGTCGGGATCCTTCCAAACTTCCCAGTCGTAGGTTGGTCAACCACAACCCTAACCCTCGCATCCAAACCTAACTGGCTTCCAGCTCCCACATGCGGTCCCATTTTCAAGTTCACCATAAATACGCCCCAATTGTGTCCCCGCCTTCCCCCAATCGGATTACCACGCAGGATTCCGCTTGATCCATCTCAACGCACGTGACGGTTGACATTTTGGTAACTGTGAGTAACTCTTCGAACCATTCCTCTCGTCTTTCACCTTCCCCTTCAACACCTACACTTCCAATGATTATAGCGAGTTGAGGTTATACTCGCCCCCTTTATCTGGCACCTCTTATTTGAGCTACTCGGTTGCTTCAAACGCACCGAGTGACATTGAAT